ACTTTTGTGCTGTCTCTCAAAGTGTGTATTCCTCTCAGTGTGAGGCTTGAGAATCTTGACAGGAAGACAAACTAGGCAACAATATCAAGCTAGTTCTAGATAATTTTAAGTATCACAGAGATGAGTTGCCAAGCAGTTTTCTAAACGCTACTGCAGAAAGTTGAGGCAAAAATGCAATCTCTCTTGGCAAGCCTACCAATTCTCAAGGATAGAAGATAGAGGGATAGAGGACAGTTATTCTGTTTGCCTCATAAGTATGAAAGTGAGACTAGAGCCTTTGGGGTTCAATGTGCTAGTTGTTCCTGCAAAAGACCTCACAGTAAGTTTCCAAAAAGAGCTTGGATTCCAGCATCCTAGGCAGTTTTGCTTCAGGTGAAGTCTATGTACTGAGCTACTGCCGAGTTTCAGTAACTGTGGTGGTTTCATCACCACTGTGTTTCTAGAAATGGTAGTCATTATTTTGCAATGAGCTTTGAGATACTGTGATTTTAAAGGACAGTAGAGAAAATCAAATTCTGTGATATCCTTCTGTTACGAGCATTAAAGCTGTAAGCATTGGCTTTGCAGAAAGGGACATCTAGTGGCTGTACAAAAAAAAGCCTTACTAATACTTTTAATGAAGCCTTATCAAATACTTGCATGTCTGACTAAGTAAGTCATATGTGTATGACTACTGTATGGCATACCTACTTGTGTATGACCTGCTGTCTTCACTGTTCCATACATCTTTGTAGCTCTACATCATGTTTTTGCTGGGACTGTTCTTTATGTTTTTGGCAAAACAAAAAAATTGCCTTTCTAGTTTTATGTAGGTCTATGTATGGTAGCTTGGCAAATAGAAAACTGCCTTCAAGCCATGCTTGGTGTACTTCAGTGCTACGCTTCCACATTTTCTATAATATCTTCCAAGCGTCCACTGCCTGCTGTTTCCTTCTGCCATTGCTTTCCCTTTTGGTACTGTATTTGGAGAGGTTGTCATTGTTATTGTCATGGTAAAATCTACTTTCTTTTGAATGCCCATAGCATAAAAGTCAGCAGGAGGGGTGGATGAGATTCAGGGAAACACTAATCTAAGCACTCAGTCATGTATTACACACAAAAGTTTGTTCCTTTCCCATCCACGTTGTGCTCCTTCTTACCAATCGAGGATGAATTCCATGCATGTTTCTGTGAATAGGCTGACAGTTTAATCGGTACATTTGCATATGGGCAAACGGAGCTTTTTTCAAAGTTGCACAGTAATATGTTTCACCTTTATGCCATGCCAACTTCAAATTGCATCCCAGGAGGATTGCAAATGTGCATAATCTGTGCAGTTTTCTGAGCTTTTTTTTAATTTTCTTTTTTCCTGCTTTTTTCTTCCCTTTTTTTTTCCTTTATTTTCCTGAACTGGCAAACACCTATTCATTGCCCATCTGGGTAAGAATGGCCTTTGCATTTTCACACCCATTCTTTCCTATATGGTTTGTGAATACCCCTCCAATCAGAACTTGCTTCACAGAAAAGGGACAAAACCATTTTACAGGAGTTTCTCAGAATTAAGTCCATTGGGATCTCTACATCATGTTTACTGGACAAGAAAGGGGGGGTACTTAACAAAGACCACTTGAATTTCATAAAAAGGTTCCCACTGTCTCGAATTTAAAAGAGTGGCAGGCCTGAGAAGAGCCTGAGACAGCAGTCTTTTTCCTGAGCCAGGCATTCTGTACAGTGACAAGTAGGTGAGTGTGCACGTGTGTATCTGGGTCTTGTGAAGAGCTGACACACTTTCTGGCTTGTCCAAGGCTCTAGCAGTCTTTGTAGGAATGTAGCATTTACTTTAGAATCAGACTTGCATTGGCAAGTCTGCCTTTTATGGGGAGCATCCCCTTGGGACTTTCAGCTTAGATCAGTATACAGTAAGGGATAGTAAGGGACAACCACAAAACTTGGATCTGGACAGTTTCCTGCAGAAAGGGAGAGGAGCTGCATGGAATTGCAGGTTTTGCTACAGACCAGTCCCTGGAATTTGTTAAAGTTGCTCTGTTCTACTGCTGTGGTTTGTATAGTAGCATCTTAGACACAGTTGTGGATTATTTGTTTCCTGTACTTTGGGCAGGCATAGTTTACAATGTTGACTGTCAAGGAAGGTGACCTAGAAGAAATATCCTCAAAATATGTATTATCTTTTTTTACTGTTGTGTGTCTCGTCCACCCACCCTTCTTATTTTATCCTTAAGGAGTGAACTTCAGTTGTTTCTCAGTTAAAGAAGTGGTAGCTGTTCCAATTTAATTTGAAAGAGTAAAGAAATGAGAAGACATGTTACAGACATGGTTGCGTGGAAAGGGAGCCCTAGAGTCAAACCAGGTAATGATCATAGAATCATAGAATAGTTAGGGTTGGAAAGGACCTTAAGATCATCAAGTTCCAACCCCTCTGCCATGGACAGGGACACCTCGCTCTAAACCATATTACCCAAGGCCTCGTCCAACCTGGCCTTGAACACTGCCAGGGATGAAGCATTCACAACCTCCCTGGGCAACCTATTCTAGTGCCTCACCACCCTAACAGAAAAGAATTTCCTCCCTATATCCAATCTAAACTTCCCCTGTTTAAGTTTTAGCCCATTACCCCTTGTCCTATCACTACAGTCCCTAATGAAGAGTCCCTCCCCAGCATCCCTATAGGCCCCCTTCAAATACTGGAAGGCTGCTATGAGGTCTCCACGCAGCCTTCTCTTCTCCAGGCTGAACAGCCCCAACTTGATCAATATCAATATGATCAATACTTTCTGATGGAAAGATTTTTAGCATACTGATAGGCAACTACTGAAAGGGAGATGTAGATAAATGGGTAGCTATGCAATCTCTTGCCATGGCCTGCAAGAGGTCTTGAAAAGAGGGGTCATATATTTATCATTAGTCTTCAATCCTTCTGTTTCCCCACCAGTACAAAGCTTTTACCAAGTTTTCTTCTTTTCAGACCAAGGAGTCTGACTTTCTATGTAAATACATTTTGAATCCTCATTTGATCTGACATGTTGGGAAGGGAAGAATCTGGAACTGCCCTGGAAGCCTCTGGAGAATGACTCTGGAAAGAAGGGAATACATCTCTTCTGTACATTTTGTGTAATAATAGTTGCAGTGCCCTTGAAGGAAAGTCTCCCAGGTTCTAAGATATTTTCTAGTGCTATGATCAGTCACATCAGAGGAAACCAGCAGAGCTTATGGACAAGACAGATGTAACGCACAACCTCCATGATACTATTAGTAGTTTCCTCCTTGTTCCTGCTATGTGAGTTTCCCCCTAGTGCTCTAATCTCACATGGAAATTAGTACCCTCTGATATTGGCTGGTTTACATTTGTTAACATCAAACTTCTTCAGCTTGGTCCCATCAGGATTTCTAGTTCCTGACCTTTGTGCTTCCCTTTTATCATTCAGCTGTTTCAGAGAATTAAAATAACCATCTGTGTCCAAGGTGGTTTGTCTTTGAACTACCAGAATAGAGGGTGCTTGAGATGTCAGGAGTGGATAAATGAGAAGGAAAAGGAGAGCAGGGAGGATGCCACATTTTCCTGCAAATTGCAGAGAGTGTATCTGTGTATGAGATGTAAAGCACCCCTTAGGCTGGAGCAGAGGGACACTGTTGAGCTAAAAGGCATCTAGATTAAACCACTTTAAATGCAATATATTTTTTTGTGTATTTCTGTTAAAGCAGACAGCAACAGTAAGCTAGTTTAATATACTCATGCTTCTCTACCAAATTTCACTTTTGGATTCTCACACATGAGCAAGTAATTGTGGCAGAGGGGTTATAGCTTTAGTAGGAGCATTCAAAACAGAAAGACTGTAATACTAGTGATGATTTTGCATTAATTTCTCTGCATACTTTTCTAGGAACCAAGGTGATGCATGCACTACAAATGCTAAGAGAAAGAATTATCAGTAACATTTTATTTGTTTACCACTTAGAGGGCACTTGGTTTTTCATCCTTGAAAGGTCAAACCATAGTTTCTGCCCATCAAAATCTAAAGAGACAAAAAATAAGTAGAGAGCATGAAAGGAAATAAAAAAAAAACGTTAAAACCAAAGTGAGCAAGATGGAGATAGGAAAGAGTGGACTGACAGATTAAGAAGTTACTTTTTAGTCACTTGTAAAAGTCAGTTATGAAGGTTATATTGGCTCTGTACCTGAATTGGTTACGTGCTTTTCTAAACTGTTCTCTATTTAGTTTATTCAGGCAAATGAAGACAAAGTCTTCCTTAGAGTAAATGTCTGTAATTTTCCAGTTTCTGTCAAGTAAATAACAGCAGGAGAACATTTGTTTTTATGTGATGGCATTCTGGTGCCAGTCAGAACTGGGGATATGCTAAAACTGAAGCGGACAACTCATGTTAACTTTTTGCTTTGGGTTCTTACAGAGGACTGTTTGTCACTACTGGGTAGCAAATGTTCTAAACCACAACCCGAGACAAAACTGTGCGTGGGATCTTAGGAACATTTACAGCCTAAATCTTTAACCAGATTTGGATTTTACATAGTAACTGCCAGTTTTTTAGATAGAAGTAACTATACTATAAAACACAGGCTCCAAATTCATTGAAATACCAATCTAGATAGAAATCACATTTTCATACACACTCTTTGCATTAACAGCATGATCTAAAGGGTCATAGTAAGAATCTGATCTTTTCTGGCGTGGGTTCACATCTGGACAAGTTAAAATCCACTTTTAATCTGTGAGCTCAGGCTGACTCTAGGCTTTTTAAAACCAGATAAACTGGCTTTAAAACTTTTTCCTATTAATTTAGGACTTGAGCTTCTGTAAATGTGTAGCAGAGCTTGCTTCCAGCCTTACAAAGGTGCTGTCTTCTTATTGGTGCTTTTGTATGTGATTTTTACAGTATAATCTGTTTTGTGTGCCCAGTGGGCAGTCACCTTCTCCAGTACCTCACTGTGACTCTGCAGAGGACAAGACTCAATCTGGTTTTGTTTTTTGTCACCTGCTTTGCTCCAGGTAACATCAGTTGCAAGGGGATGACAGAGCGCATTCATAGCATCAACCTTCACAACTTCAGCAATTCTGTGCTCGAGACCCTCAACGAGCAGCGCAACCGTGGCCACTTCTGTGACGTGACGGTCCGCATCCACGGGAGCATGCTACGCGCCCACCGTTGTGTGTTGGCGGCTGGCAGCCCCTTCTTCCAGGATAAGCTGCTTCTGGGCTACAGCGACATCGAGATCCCCTCAGTGGTGTCAGTCCAATCTGTGCAAAAGCTCATTGACTTCATGTACAGTGGGGTGCTGCGGGTCTCACAGTCAGAGGCCCTCCAAATCCTCACAGCTGCCAGCATCCTGCAGATCAAGACTGTGATTGATGAGTGCACAAGGATTGTCTCGCAAAATGTGGGAGAGGTCTACCCAGTCATTCAAGATTCTGGCCAGGAGACACCAAGGGGAACACCCGAATCAGGCACCTCGGGGCAGAGCACCGACACAGAGTCTGGCTACCTGCAGAGCCATTCACAGCACAGTGTGGACAGGATCTATTCAGCCCTTTATGCCTGTTCCATGCAAAATGGGAGTGGGGAGCGCTCCTTTTACAGTGGAGCTGTGGTCAGCCACCATGAAACAGCCCTGGGGCTCCCCAGGGACCATCACATGGAAGACCCCAGCTGGATAACCCGGATCCATGAACGATCGCAACAGATGGAGCGATACCTCTCCACCACTCCGGAGACCACACACTGCCGCAAGCAACCACGGCCTGTCCGAATTCAAACCCTGATGGGCAACATCCATATTAAGCAGGAGATGGAGGATGACTATGACTACTATGGCCAACAGAGGGTGCAGATCCTTGAGCGCAATGAGTCTGAGGAATGCACTGAGGACACTGACCAAGCAGAAGGCACTGAGAGTGAGCCCAAAGGGGAGAGCTTTGACTCAGGAGTCAGTTCCTCCATTGGCACTGAGCCTGATTCCATGGAACAGCAGTTTATGGCTGGTCTAGGCCGGGATGGGCAGCAAGAACCTTCTCAAGCAGATCAAAATGACGTCCCTGCTGATGGCACTCAGCCGCAGCAGCAGCAGCAGCATGTAGATGCCAACTCTTCCTCGCCAGAGAGAAGCAATGACGTTGAAATGGACAACAAAGTGCTCACAGTCAATAACAGCACCGAAAAGGGGGCTTTGCAGCCTTCTGTCAACACAACTGTTGCCCAACCATTGCCAACCACACAGATCTACTTACGCCAGACAGAAACCCTCACCAGCAATCTGAGGATGCCACTGACTCTGACCAGCAACACTCAGGTCATTGGCACAGCTGGCAACACTTACCTGCCTGCCCTTTTCACCACACAGTCTGCTGGCAGTGGCCCTAAGCCTTTTCTCTTCAGCCTGCCCCAGCCTTTAGCTGGCCAACAGGCTCAGTTTGTAACAGTGTCCCAGCCTGGCCTATCAACCTTTACTGCCCAGCTGCCAGCCCCACAGCCCTTGGCTCCATCTGCGGGCCACAGCACAGCAGGTGGGCAAGGTGAAAAAAAGCCTTATGAGTGCACTCTCTGTAACAAGACTTTCACCGCCAAACAGAACTACGTCAAGCACATGTTTGTACACACAGGTAAGAGTACGTCCCTTTGGCTTATACATGAAGCCAGAGAAAGTCCTTGATAAACATGGATTTAGTTTGTTTCCCCACGGCCCCTGTACAAACAGGAGGGAGCTGGTATCACTGAACACTTTCCCAGCTTACTGCACTGAAGTTGAGCCCCTGCAGAAACATATAGGTCCCTTATGGGGCCTAACTGTGCATGGTACAGAAACAAGCTCATTTTACTTGGAATGAAATGTGTCCTGCACCCATCCAAGGAAATGGTAGAGGTTTGTTGTCCCTTGTAATCTGACCAGGCAACATAAAGTAGAAATGGCATGAGGAAAAGGTAATTACAAGTCATTCAAGAAAAATTGTATCTACTAAAAAAGGGCACTCGCCTGTAAGTTTTACGGCTGCAGGAGTTCAAGTGATGATCACTGGCATGAGTTTAGGGCAAGTTCATTCCTCATGGAATGGCAGCAGTAGTTCCAGGCCTGTGTGTTAAACACACTGACATATAATTTCTAAATCTTCTATATTCCTATAAGAGAGTAAATTAGGAGTTTTTTCAGGAAGCTCCTCTGTACTTCACTGAAGCTCACTGCTGTAATCCCCTGTGGTAAGTCAGATGCTTCACTAGCTGTGCATACTGAAACATTTAAAAATGTAAGGAGAATTTTAAATAATAAATGTAGAACGCAACATAACATCAGGACCCTTTTTGTTTAAAAATGCAACTGCTTTCGTATATGGTCTTTTGAGATGATGTAGGTAGCCATGTTTACTATGAAGCCAAAACTGCCTTTTCTAGTTTTGTCAAGTTACGAGACTTCAAAACAAGGAGATAGATCTATCTTACATGAAGAAGCTATTCTGGGTTCAGGACTAAATTTTGCTTGCTTTAGCCTTCCAGCTTATTCTGATGTTGGAGAGAAATTCTAGTTTAGAGAAAAAGTAAATATTTCTCTCACCAAGCAGTGGTTTTGTTAATGTCAGATGCTAAAATAAATGCTGGGTTTGTGATACATGAAGTAGAGCCTGGAGAAATTGCCCAAGGTATGGGAGGAATGTAAGTCATGAGTCCCCATTGTATCCAGGAGATTTCACTTCCATATGCATATGTAAACTTTTAACTTCTATTTACCTGTAATTGCCACTTAAATGAAAAATTCCCCTAGGCATCTAAGACAGACTTGTGCACGTACATATATACAAAAAGGTCAACTTCTCAGCACTGGTACAAAATGTATGACTGCAAGGATCAAGAATCCTGAATCCCAAGATGACCCATTGTGTCTGTTTATGTTCTCTATTTTTCTGTTGTGGATGAGTAGCTAAAATACTAGATAGTGTTGTGTTATTCAGAAAAAAATACCTCTTCAGAACACTCTTCAGAAATATATCTGCCTGCACCCTTGTTCTAAAAGCTAGAAAGGCTTCTTCACAAAACACTTCACTGAGATTAGGTGCTTTATTTCCCCCACCCCAACTGTGCACTGCATTTGCTATTTGGAGTCAGATAAAAGTAATATTGGAAGATCTGGCATAAATATTCCTAGCTACTGCACATAAAGTCAACCAAGGAAATTGATAGGCACCTCTAATCATTTAATAATACCTTATTTGTTTGGGTCTGAGAATTCCCAAAATAATGAATTGTGATGGCAAGATGAGATTCAGGTAGACAAATGATTGCGAAGTTCATTTAGGAGCAGACTGGCTTCTGGAGTGGCTGGGAGAATAATTGCACCATAACCAACAGAGAGCAGGGCTTCAGAAAACCCTTTGTAAAATAACCCTTTTTATGTGCAGCCTCAGAGAAAGGATGCCTGCTACCTTGGCTAGTGCTGAACAGGTTCATCATGAAAACTGAGAGGACACAGCCATGCCCACTCTCAGGGTGACTTTCCCCAGTCCTCTTAAAAGAAGCCTGGCAAAGTGGCTCTGGAAAAGATTCCATGGTTAAAGGGAAAGATATGGGAGATGCAAATGTTTGAATTAGTCTTGCTGTTTGGAGGTCTCATGAGAGAAGACATGGAGAAGCCTAATCATAAACCAGAATTCAACAGCCTAAAGGCCTCCTCATCTCTATTTGTCTTTATGGTTCCCAAAACTATATTCTGATGTAGGTTGCCATGCAATGGAAATCTACCTCCCTTTCTTTTACACAGACACAAACATACTAGAAATGGATATTTTTCCACGTGCCCTACAGATTGGCTTTAACATATCTCACAGTGTTGTTCTGCAAGACATGCAATGCTGTGAAAATACTAGTGCTAGAATGCGTGCAGTGCGTGCGTACCATGTAAGCCGTCACTGCCTTCTCTTACATATCATGCTGTGGTTAATAGCCAATAACTGTCCCACATTGCTGTTTAAAGCCAGCCAAATATGAAACAAAGAACCAAAAGGAGAGATATGCACATTTAATTCACTGAGCAGTTTTTGCTGACTTCAACATGAAGAACCATGGTAATAAATAACCTGCAGTCCTCACTTAGGAAGCACATATATTTGCATACCAAAAAAAAGAAGAAAAAAAGGAAGCCTAAAAAGTTCTGAGATTCTTAGGAGAGGAGAAATCCCGGAAAGGTTTGGAAGCTACGATTAGAAAGCCGGAATCCAGTGTATCTTAGAAACATGTGCAGGCAAAAATTAGGGTGTTTTCATAGAATAGTCTTAACAGGGTCTGGAGCAGAGGAGACCAACTTATTGCAAACTCTTGGAAATATATTGCCTAAGGCAAAAATTACCATTGTAAATATAATCAGTCTCTTGTAAGTTAATCAGACATTATTACAACTGACACATGATCATTTTCCACATAACACACATCAAGCATATTGGCCTGTCTACACTCGACACACTACTATGTTCAGCAAAGCCAGCAGGAAAGTAAAGACTTACTGTGTTTTGACCAAGCGTCTTTCACCAAGTAGGGACAAACTCATCACTGGTGCAAGGAAGAGCAGCATGTGGATTTCATTCACAGATGTCATCATCATATGTGAAAACTGTGAAATCAAAAGAAACAGAGACTCAGGGGAGATAAAAAAGTAGGTCTTTACCATCCAATACCTATTAATGATCTCCTCTTAAAATTGAATATAAGTAATGTATTGTAATCTCACTATACAAAGAGTAAATGATACATTACCACAGGTGTGTAAGAGTCCTTGAAGATAACTCTTCAGGATTTAAAACAGTATCAGATTGTAAAAAAGGACGAAGCAGTATGTCTGGGGGAAAAAATAAAGAAAGCATCTGCTAGAGGGAAAATTGCAGAATGACCAAATTAAAATCATTTTTCAGTCAGTGAAACACGCTCATTTTGATTGTTGCAAAGGTATGGTACCATCTCTTTCCCTGACAGCTTTGGGGATCATGAATTACCACACCTGAAATATACCACAAGTGAATCAGAAATCAAACTAAAAAGCAACTTTTGGTGGGGCAATCAGGGTGTTGGGTATTGTCTACATTATCAATACAGCAACATATGAAAATGTCTCCTAATACCATGAAACATGAGGCAGAAGAAGTGCTATCAGCATGAGGAGGAGTTAAGAGTAGTCTGGACAAACTGATTGCATCAGCTCAGCTAAATATTTTTTTCAGTTCATCATTGTAGCCACTGGTTTGTCTGGATGTGATCAGTGTTCACTTACAGAAGTTGCCAGAATCAGTTTTACAACAGCCCTGGGCACAAGTGGTAGATAATATAAGTATTTTATATCTCTGATTTATCTGACAAGTTGTTTTATTTCATTGGCAGTCAAATCATTTAAGTTTCATGTCTGTTACCCTGGAAGTTTGTCTTTTAGGTTGCCCTTTGCATGGTACTGGCTGGCCTAGGCAATTCTGTATACTGAGGTTGCCTTTTCAGTTGCTCTTATCTATGCTTCAGCTATAAGAGTTGACCAGAAAAAGGGGAAACAAAAGTGAACCTCTCATAACACGCTGAATTCCTTTGGCAATGTCTAGCATTTCTCTCCTGAGAAATGTAAAGCAATTTGACAAAAATGATTGTGTTACAGGTCAGCTATCTAGTAATCACTAGCTTTGTCCATGTTTTTACTTCATGCAGGAAGGGAGATGGAGACACTGAAGTCCAGGCTGGACCTTAGGCAACATGGTGTAGTGTGAGGCATCCCTGCCCATAGCATGGGGTTTGGAACTGGATGATCTTAAGGTCCTTTCCAACCCAAGCTATTCTATGATTCTATGACTAAGGTCTTCCTAGAAATGAGCATGAGGAGGAGCAAGGCAGGAGCATAGGCAGGAGAGGCTGTGCCACTGAAGCTGAGAGTAGATGCCAGGACATTTTAACTGTAGTCCTGTCTTTGTCAGTGTCTACTATGCAAACCTGAAGAAATCATCTGAGCTCCTTTTAACCGTATGTGGATTGGAAATGCCTGCAGCCCCTTTGTAAAGCATTTTGGAACCTCTGATTGCAAAAAAAAATGCTGTGCATCAAAACACACTTATTAACACTTACTCTTCCTTATTCAGAGCACATCTCCAAATACCCCTGTGAGACTTGCTGTTAGTTTATTGCAAAGAGTTGTACCAAGCAGGTTTAATTTTATTGTCTCCTTTTGTCTGTTTTCTTTCTTTCTCTTTCTTGTTGGTAATGAGCAGGTGAGAAACCCCACCAATGCAGCATCTGTTGGCGCTCCTTCTCTTTAAAGGATTACCTAATCAAACACATGGTGACGCACACTGGCGTGAGGGCGTACCAGTGCAGTATCTGCAACAAGCGCTTCACCCAGAAGAGCTCCCTTAACGTGCACATGCGCCTCCACCGTGGGGAGAAGTCCTACGAGTGCTACATCTGCAAGAAGAAGTTCTCCCACAAGACCCTGCTGGAGAGGCATGTGGCTCTGCACAGTGCCACCAACGGCACGCCTGGAGCCACCGGAACCGGCACAAGGGCTGTCCCTGCCGGGGTGGTGGCCTGCACGGAGGGGACCACGTATGTCTGCTCTGTCTGTCCAGCTAAGTTTGACCAAATCGAGCATTTCAACGACCACATGAGGATGCATGTGTCAGATGGATAAGTAGAATCTCTCTCTCTCTCTTTGTTATGAACAACAAAAAAAAGTAGAAACAACAACAAAAAGCTATGGCACTAGAATTTAAGAAATTATTTTTGTTTCATTTTTACCTTTATTTTCCTCCTTTTTTTTTTTTTTTGGGTTCGTTTCGATTTGTTGTTTTTGTACTACATGAAGAACTGTTTTTTGCCTGCTGGTACATTACATTTCCGGAGGCTGGGAGAGTAATAATTTTCCCAACCTCCCTTGGATGGTGGCCTTAAGGCCAGGTAGTGCTTCATGAGCTCCACTGGTTGGATCTCTAGCTACTGGCCTCTAAATACAACCCTTCTTTACTACAAAAAAACAAACAAACAAACAAAAAACCAACAAAAAAAATCAAAAAACAGACAGAAAAATAAAAAAAAAAAATTTTTTTTCTCACTTGTGAAGAGCACTACAAAAAAAAAGAAACAAAACAAATATATTACAAATCTACAAGGCCTACTGTCGTTATAAGTACACCGCTCGCAGTGTTTCAATGGACATAATTCACAATGCTGACCGCTTTTGGACTTCACAGTATCCAGTTAGAACTGTGGAATATTTTGCTTCTGGTTGAGCAGCAACCAGAGGAAACAAGGCCCTGCTGGTTTCCACCATGTGTCTGCTTTCTCACACACACGCACCCACAAACACACGAAAGGGCTGAGGGGAGTGCAAGGCAGTGTGGCTTGGATAGTGTCGAATCCCTGCAGGGTGAGGAAAAAGAATCAGAGGTTCCTCACCACGATTCTGCTCCATCCCATGCTGTCTGGCGCACCCTCCCCGCCGCTTTTTCCATACCACCACCACCACCTTATAGCAGAAACCAAGAAGATTCAGACAACGAGCAACGGTGGCTTTTATGTAATTTATTCAGTGTCTTCGCTGAGCCCAGGGCCTCAGCACAATCAAGAGGGACTTTCACAGAAGGCAAAGAGAAACACAGAGGAAAATCAAAGATATCAGAGGTTGCAACCTATGGATCTAGGTACAAGAGAAGGGTTAGTTCCCACAATCTTTGCAAAAAAAAACAAAAGTTGCATCAGGATTTATTCTTGTGGAAGAAAGAGGAATAGAGGGTGGGTGGGGAGGGGAATAATAATGAAGAAAAAAAAAAGAGTTCTTGGGACTTTTTTAATTCAAAATTTTATAGAGGGGCAAAAGTGACGTTTACCAGATAGAATGCTGATTTTTTTAATATATTTACAACAGTATTTGTGTAAGAAAAAAAGCAAAAAAAAGTGAGATTGTTAAAAGTAATTTTTCTTTGTTTTCTTTTTTTTTTTGTTTTGCATACACTGCCACTAATATCTTCTCTTTTATTATATATATGAATCTATATATAAATATATATTTTATTTTAAATTGAGACTGTTAAGGTTAGCTAACCTGCTTCCAGATAGAAGGGGGGAGGGGAGATGATCTTGATTTTTATTTTTTAAAAAAGAGGAAGGTTGTTTCTTAATTTTAATTTTTTTTTCTAGTATTATTCTCTCTCTCTCTTTTCTAATGGAATCAAGAATTACCTGGGTCGATGAGGGGCTCTGTGAAGTCATCTGTGAGATTATCTATTAGAGTTTGTGCATCCTGCAGTATCATTTGAACTGCTACTTTGTTTTTGAATCACCTGGTTTTCTTTTTGGCTCTTACCAAGGTTCTGTTGTTTCTTCCTTTGGTTCCATCTCAGAATTTATTTCTGCTGAAGGGCAGTTCCTTTTGAGAAAGAGATTTTTCTAGCAATGTTCCTATGTTTTTAGGGATGGTAGAATCTGTAGCCTTTTCTTTCTTTCTTCTTTGAAAAAGTAATGAAAGTTTTGAAGGTGTGTAATAACTAAGAATTCCCTTCTTTTTGGTCACTGGACAAGAATTAATCTGCTGTATTGTTTTCTCATCCCTGCCTTGCTCGCTAGAGAGCTTCCATATTTGTGTGGGAATCTGATCCTGCCCCTGGTAATTTGTGCTGATGCCAAAATAACTTCAAATGTTACCATTGCAAATAATCTTCCCTTCTTCATTTGCAAAAACATGTAACTGAAGGGCCACATCCCACATTCTCTGCATATGCAAAGCTATGCAAGGAATGTAGGATCAGTGTGAAAGACTGATTCCTGATCTGCATATGTATGTTCATGTTTTGTATTTTGTTTTATTGTATTTGGGCTGGTGTTCTCCCTGGTCGTCTTCTGTGTATCTGTGTAAGAATTTTTCCCCCAAAGCCAACTCCCAAAGTACGTGGGTCCTTAGTTCAGTTGGATCAGTGTCTGACGCTGTCTTTGTCTTGCTTGAAATCCATAGCTAGGACTTGCACCAGCTGCACTCTGGACTTTACATTTTAGGCAGAGAAGAAGCACCTAACAAAAATATGCAAAAAGAAAAAAAAGAATTGCTAGTTTAGCTCTTACTTGTGTCTATATTTAAATTAAGCTTTCTTAAGTTTACAAAACTTTTGCTTGTGAACACTGAGCATTTCACATGAGACGTTCTTTTATGCTGGACAACTTTCTAACTCTTGACTTGATAGATTTCCACACACAACTTTGTGTGTTCTTTACACCTGCAGCTTCTGTATCAGATGTCTGTGATTCAACACAGGTAACCTCATGCTATGTTCTGCTCCTGTTCCATTACTGGTTTATCTTGGGGAGAAAAAAACCCTGACAGGTGGTTTAGTGTTAGAATATTTCTGTACCCTTCAAGGTATTTTTTAGCAGATCCTTAATGAGAAAGCCCTAATTCTCAGCTGCAGTAGGCAGCATAGACTTTGAGGTGAGTGCCAGAGCAAATAAATGAGTCTCTTGTATGGTAACATCTGGTTTTTGTTACCAGTTTCAGTAGTTCAAAGGGGCTGGTGAAGGAGCACAAGTTAGTTAACAAGTGTTGTTTGCATAACCACACTTGGTAAAAACAATGCTGGCATGTAAATGAAGTGAAAAGACAAAGCCTAAGACACATAGATGGAGAACTGATATCTGAGATGTAAAGACACACTAAATCTGTACAGAAAATAAAAGTTCTAGAGACAAGGGTGTAGAAGAAAATGGGGAAGGTGAACCTGTACAAAAGGACTGAAGGTCTTTCTCTGGGGAAGTGAGTTTTTTTCTGAGACCTTTATGATTAAAGAGTTCGGTGTTCTCCCATATAAGGAATTAATGAAGAATTTTACCCAGCTTAAGTATCTGTAGCTGCTCATTTGTCATCTGAGGTCTGGGAAAAAGCTGTTTAATTCGCCATTGTTGAATCTGGTGAACTATAGTCAAGATGTAGCATATTCTGGAATATGGTTCTGATACCAGAAGAGATATGCCAATACACAGGAAATAAGAATCAGGGTTTACATCCAACAAAATCCAAATACTACTGTGTTTAGAGAGAAAAATCCTGTCTAAATTTTAATTCTTCAATTTCCAACCTTCCCTAAATCAAAGAAGCATCATTTTTGAAATGCAGATTTATTATGGGGCCTAACAAATTTGAAGTGAATTACATATCAATTGTGAATAAATGAATGAAGGGGACCAATTAAAAAAATAAATTCATTAAATTAAAGCAAAAGGCATATTAGATTGAATTCTAAATCACTTCTTAAAGAATTTAGGCCAAGGTCTTCACAAATGGCAGCCTGAAATGTAAGCTGATTTTGTTGAGCTTCCAAGCTCAAAAATTAGTGACTTGATTTTGTGAAACATGGAGCAGCTTGCAAAGTGACTGCGAATGTATCTGAAAGTGCTCATCAGATCACTTATTTAAATGCCCTTCTGCAAACGTAGGAGCTCAAACATAGACCCTTTATCTTTTGAAATGTGAAATTCTTTTTAGTAATGCTTCCTACCAGCTATAAATGTTTAAATATTTATTTACTACTTTGAAACTACAGTATCTGAATGTTACAGGTGTCTTCAAGCTTCATGTATTGCTACAATATTCCTTAGTGGAAAGAATACCTACTAGCAGTCACAATGACTGGTGTTGTCAGTGTTTGAACACATCCATGGTTGAAAGGCTTCCTTCAGAACACCTGATAAAATGTCACAGATGAGAAAGAGCAGACTGTAGCACACACCTTTCTGATGGAGCATGCAATATCCTGCATTCCTTGAGTCTGATTCTCACTTTCCTTAAAGCTCTCTTTATATTGCTTCTGCAATGGAAAAGGATATTAAATAGAATGTAAATTCAAGCATACAAATCAAGACCTCTCTGCAAGGCCAAAGTGCAATAAGGTAAGCCTTAGAGTAGATGAGAGGTGAGTGCCTTCTCTTGCTGCTGCTGAGGCTGATGAAGTCAATTGAAAATGTAGGATTGTCCAGGGCAGATCTACCCTGTGGTCCACTTTGCCCAGTATTCCATCTCTGACATGTGGCCAGTTATAGATGATTTGGATGAAGATGAAGGACCCATGCTGGATAATTACAAAGTAATAATCCTAAGAGAGATTTATTCTAATTCTTCATTAGCTATGTATCTGCTTATAACCTAAAGACATAATAACATATGGCCTTAACTTTTTATCCCATATATATTGTGGCAGATGATTCTCATTATCCTTTAAAGATCTAGCTTATTAATTCCTAGGTGGCCTCAGTGCTATCTTCTGGAAGTGAGTTCCTCAGGTTAATTACAACATTGTTGAAATGATTCCTTTTCAGGTTAATTTTGTTGCTGTTCATCGAAACACCCTTGTTCTTGAATTATGTGAAATCGTAAATCAGAGAACCAAAATTTAACTTCTCTTGCCCATCCTGCTAAAGTCTGCCTCTCTCTGGGAAATCTGAATCCACAAGGAATGCAGGACCACAACATCAGTGTCTGCTGGTCAGTTAGGAGAGAACAGCTAGCGAGTGTGTGCGTGTGCGTGTGCATGTCTGGGGTGCGTGCATTAGTGAGATTCTCCTACAGTGACCTCTTGCAGAGGACTTGCAAGTACAACTTGTAAACAGTGGGAACATACCAGTAATGTAAACCAGACTAGAAATTGTAATTTGATATTTCAATGTCTCTCCTCTCACAAAACCCCTATTAATAGCCTCTCGTAAGGGAAATAGGTATAGATATTTTGCAGGAGCTGCTTTGGGGGCACTTTCTGAGCAACTATCATGCTCCCAGTAGGCCCACTTCTGACCCATGCTGTTAGTTGTTTTCAAAAGCAGCTCATACCCACAGCAAGTGGAATGGGAAGAATGGCATTTAATTGACTTTCTAAGAGAATGAGATTCCCCTTTGCTCTAAAATCAAAGAAGCCAAATGGTACCTATTTTTCTTCTTTTAATTTCTTTTTCATCCAAAGGAGAGTTGAGTAATAGCCCAGATACCATCAGCCCCCTCACTTCTTACCAACCCCAAACTGACTGATTTCAGTCGATTGTG